TAGATACGCATATTTTGACAGACACACCTATGCTGAGCCATGCAGCATGTATGGTGCCCCTTTAGTTTCTTTACCGATCTAAGGCGTTGTCTGAAGCGTAAGTAGCTCACGAGTCGGAGAAAAAAACTGCAGTGTAGTAAATGCTGGCTTTTAAGTGCATGGGGCTGTACGTGGATACTCGGAAAAACGCATAGAAATGTGCATCAGGTGACATGTATCCTCAGGCATATGCCGAGTCCCTGTCAAGAGCATAGATACGCACACAGCTAAACTTCACACAGGCCAGGAGTTGCTGAGAGGCAGATGTTCAACAGTACAGTATTTCACACCTAAAACCCCCTCTAGCCAGTGGTCTCCAATGTGCTTTACAAATGCTAATGAAGCCTTAAAACACCCCTTTTACTCAGTAGCTATTGTCCTCTCGACTTGGGTAGACAGGGAAAGCCAGGCACAGCAAGTTAAGCGACTTGTCCAATGTCACGGGGGCAAGTGGCAATGCTGGGAACAGAGCCTGGCTCCCAGACCTTTCTTTTACTCATTAGACATGCTCCCTCCTTGATATGGGAGCCTGACACGCTCAGAGGTGTATCCAGTGTGGTGCATGGATGCCCACGTTCTGGCACAAGCAGATATGAGTGCCCCTTTGCACATCTAAGCCCTGGAATGCTAGTGGGGTCGATGTGGTGCAGCCCCAGGGAGGTGAGGCAAAGAATCGGAATCGCTGCTTGTTTGCGTTCCCTGAAGCTAGAGTATTACTGTGTGAATAAACATGAGAACGTAGGTGCTGGAAGTAGGGGGGCTGCCGCCTCCCCTGGTTTGAAGTGGGTTCCATCATATCCAGGGTTTACAGTGGGGTTAATGACTCTCAGCGGTGCACCCCCACTATCCAAATTGTTCCAGCACCCTTGCATGAGAACCAAGTGCCGAGAGAGCACAAAGGCAAAAATGTCAGTAAATATTTTCCCCTCGAGCTCCTGAATGCTGGGGAGTTGTGCAATTCTGAACAGCTCCTCCAAAAGGAAACATTTTAATTCCATGCAGTTCATGCAAAGGTTAGCTAGACAAATGTTACTCTTGCCATGAAGCCAGGACCCCACTGCACCTTCCCTCCCAAAAACGCCACTCACCACCCAGGGTTGGGGCTAGTTTATTCCCTCTGAGGTACGGTAAATCTGACTGCGTACATCATTCCCCAGACACCTGCACTTCCACCTTCACGCTTACTGCTTTGTTGTGTCTTTCGCTGAGAAGTCTGGTCAGGTCCAGGAAGTGGAACAGCTGGGATGGGTGGGTTGAAAGCACATTTCCCACCCCTGATTCTCTTCTCAGCTCTGCTGCCTGTGGGTGGACATGGCTTTAAGACAGCTATGTTTGATGAGTGACTCTCACCCAGCCTCTGCCCTCTCTGGTAGGTGTTGCGTGGGCAGTAGAGACGCTCAGTTTCAGAACTGTTTGTTCAAGGGTTTCCGGGGAATCCTTTCCTTTGTTCCCCTTTTTGGCTGACTTGACTTTTAAACCTTCTTGCTGCAAATGAAGGGGGCCGGGTGGGGTGTGAGACACTGGGGAATCGAGCCTCGGCTTAATAGGCAAAGACATTTCAGAGTTATAAGCCCCTCAGATTTCCCATGTTTAGTTGCAATTAGCTGCCTCTTGCCTATATGTCATGTGGATTTTTATATTTGTTTGTGTTGTTCTGAAAGTGGAATTCCTCATTCTGCTTGGAAACAGGACCAGCCTGGGGCTGCTGAACTTTGCCCCAGTGGTCCGGGCCTGGTAGCAGATATTTGTGTATGCGTGTGTGCATTCTTGGCTCTGTGCTGCATGGGGTTTTTGTTGACAAAGCCACCAAGCTTTAGGCTCCGTGGGAAATAATCCAGATGGGGTCACTCTTGGAAAACCCCACTGCAGAAAAGCTGGGATGGGGGTTTCCTGGTTATGCTGAGAGCCGGTCCCACAGCTGATGGGAAGCAGCCCAGGTCCATTGCAACCACTGGAGTAATGCTAATCCACACCAGCTGAGGAACTGGCCCTTTGGTGGGTACAATGGCCAGGCAGATGACTTGATGAAGGTTGCCTAAGGGTGTCTTGCCACCACTCACACCTTGTTTTTTGTGAACGGCACCAAAACCTGCTCATGAATCGAGGAAAACCATTTACTTTGACACTTCATAGAATCCTAGGACTGGAAGGGCCCTCGAGAGGGCATCTAATCCAGTCCCCTGCACTCATGGCAGGACTAAGTATTATCTAGACCATCCCTGACAGGGGTTTGTCCAACCTGCTCTTAAAAATCTCCAATGATGGAGATTTTACAACCTCTCTGGGCAATTTATTCCAGGGCTGAACCACCCTGACAGGAATTTTTTCCTAACATCCAACCTAAACCACCCTTGCTGCAATTTAAGCCCATTGCTTCTTGTCCTGGCCTCAGAGGTTAAGAAGAACAAATTTTGTCCCTCCTCCTTGTAACAACCTTTTATGTACATGAAAACTGTTCTCCTGTCCCCTCTCGGTCTTGACAAAAGACAATTGTTTTTTTCCGTTTTGACTGAAACCGTTTGGTGAAATTGACACATGCTCGTGAACTGTTTTGGTCAATGTGAATTTCCATTGTTTTGTCCAAAAAAAAAAAAAAGTTTCGGCCAAAATATCTTCGTCCAGCTCTTAGTAGTAGCGAGATGAATCGCAGAAAATAAAAATGGAAACCATCCAACAACACTGTAAACATTGGACCATCCAATCCATTTCCTTGCGAATGCAGGATTGTTCCCCGCAGTTGGTAACTGATTGATTGAAATGAAAGGCAAGGATAAACTGGAGATGGGGAACAACTACCTAGTAATGAGATCACAGACTGAGGAATAGTCTCCCAAGGGAAGCAACGGAAGCTGCATTTCTTGAGACAAATAGCTGCAGAACATACCGTGGTGGTTGGAAGCAATCCTCCATTTACCTGGTAATGGAGAAGTTGTTCAGATAGAAGATGCCTATCTCTGATGTCTGTAATTCAAGGAGCTTCTAGGATTCTAACTTCTATGGGCATACTTACATTGCAATTGGACACTTGCGGCTGGCCTGTGCCAGCTGACTTGGGCTTACTGGACTCGGGCTAAGGGGCTGTTTAATTGCCATGTAGACATTCAGGATCAGGCTGCAGCTGGAGCTATGGGATCCTCCCACCTCTCATGGTCCTAGAGCTTGGGCTGCAGCCCCAGCCTGAATGCTACATCACAATTAAACAGCCCCAGCCTAGCAAGCCCGAGTCAGTTGGCATGGGCTAGCTGTGGGTTTTTAATGACAGTGTGGACGTACCCTATGAGAAGGAGGAGTTAGCTCATTAGCTCAACAGATGGGGGTGCTTAGGAGACAGATGAACAAGTTGGTGACCAATAGAGGTCTTCAAGGCCAAAAGCCCCCCTAGCTAATTTACCTACTTAATCTAAGGGGATCAGTGATTCACAGCTGTTAATCCTCCCCTAGTCACTTCTGAAAATGCAGACCTACTAGCACATTTGGGGGCCATCAAATTTTAGGTGCACAAGCTGAGATTCCTTAAAGGGACCTGATTTTCAGAAAGTGACTGCCATAGGCTCTTAGATGTGAAGGGCAGACAGGGACCGTTATATCATCTAGTCAGATCTGCATTACACCAGCCAGAGGACCTCAGCCAGTGATCTTTGCATCAAGCCCGTAACTTCCGGTTGAGCTGGAGCACATCTTTTAGAAAGATTTAGGGGGAGGTTTAGGTTGGATATTAGGAACAACGTTTTCACTAGGAGGGTGGTGAAACACTGGAATACGTTACCTAGGGAGGTGGTGGAATCTCCTTCCTTAGAAGTTTTTAAGGTCAGGCTTGACAAAGCCCTGGCTGGGATGATTTAATTGGGGATTGGTCCTGCTTTGAGCAGGGGGTTAGATTAGATGACCTCCTGAGGTCCCTTCCAACCCTGATATTCTATGATTCTAAGAGACCCAGTCCTGATTTAAAGACATGGAGTGATGGAGATTCCACCTTGTTCCAATGGCTACTTGCCCTGCCTGTTAAAAATGTGTGCCTTTATTTCTAACTTGAATTTGTCAAGCTTCAGGTTCCCAGCCAGTGGATCTCATTATGCCTTTTTCTGCTAGATTAAAGAACATCCACTGGGAGAAATTTAAAGTGGCTCAAACTGCCCCACCAACAGTCATGTCCCCTCCCCGCAAAAAATCAACAGTTGCTTTTGAAAAAGCAGGCCATAATTTATAAGTAGGCCTCCATGTCTTTGTTTCAGAGTAGCAGCCGTGTTAGTCTGTATTCACAAAAAGAACAGGAGGACTTGTGGCACCTTAGAGACTAACCAATTTATTTGAGCATAAGCTGTAGCTCACGAAAGCTTATGCTCAAATAAATTTGTTAGTCTCTAAGGTGCCACAAGTCCTCCTTATCTCTTTGTTTGTCACTCTTAAGCTCCTGGGATGGGCTCAACGCTGGCTCCTGTCAGTTATCACCTTTGACCAGAGACAGGAAAGAAACAAGTTTGTAGAACTGAGCCACATTGTGGCTTCTGAGGTTTTAGAGAATTAAAACAACAAATTGCCCATTTCTGTGAAACCTACACTTTGCTGGAGCTCCCAGAGGAATCCTAGCTCCCAAGCCAAAAATCCGGAAGAGCTGTGGGAGAAAAATCAATCTTTTTTTTTTTTTTTTTTTTTAAATACTAACCTCGATACTTTTCCTTCCGCAAATCCCTTTTTGGCTCAGATTTTAACATTTCCTTTTGCAAGTGACAAAGAGATGCAGACAACCAGCTGTCTTTTTTCCACTCCACTAAGCGCAGCTCTCAAGGACAGAGCATTGTGCTGGAAACCAAACTCTCTCCTCTAGTCATTTTAATAGAGAGAAATACTATGCTGGTTACTTAACTAAAGACCTTTTCCAACCCAGCAAATTTTTTTTGAACTTAATTGGATTTGCTCTCTCTAGTTCTATGCTTTTATGTTTCTTATTTTGTTTTTTATAGGAAACATCTGTCCAAGTGGGAGCCTGCCTTTGCTTAAGAGCCCCTCTGAGAAATTCTACTCCTAAATTATTGGGAGCTCCCAGCAGATCCAGGTTTGTCTTCCATTTTTCTATGCCACAGAGGTGGATTAATCCCCACCAGGTACAGGGTTAGAGCAAGTGAGGGACTGAAACATTAGTGGGGGATTGGTGTTGAGGCAACGGGTCTGGGAGTTAAGGGGGTAATTGCTGAGAGCAATTGGCAGATGATGGAACCTGCATCCTAAATTTCTTCTGGGTACTAGATACCTGGGATGAAATCCTGGCCCCACTGAAGTTAATAACAAAGCTCCCAATTATTTCAATGGAAGCCAAAATTCACCCTGATGGGTTTCATGTGGTTAAGGAATGGAAGCTGTCTATTGACGCTTTTGCTGTAACTAACTAGATAAGCCATTGTCAAACAGCTGAAGAAAGCAGGTGCCCATCATCTTATTGAATCTGCAAATGAGTCTCCGAAGGAATGGTGTAGAAGCTCCTGTTGCTTGAGTCATTTAATTTAGATGGGAGAGAGCACTGGAGAATAGACTGCAGGGGTAAGGAACAATCCAGGAACAGATGGGGAATGGGCTAATAATAATAAATAGTTACATACAAGTAATCAACACAATCAGCGTCTATAATTAATCTCAACTTGATTAAGTACAGTAGGATCTGAGATTTTCAAAGCCAGGCAGGAGACTGAGCTGCGTAGTTCCCCTTGAATATATGACCTCTCCTAGCTGACTTTGAAAGTCTCAGACCATGTCTTTTCCATCTTTCACTTCTGCAAAACCAGCGCTCGAGTGTTTTGTACCCATGATGATGATAACATACGTAGACTGGGTATCTGCCGTTTCCTCCCTCTGACGATCTTCCAGCCCTTTACAAACAATAAATTAAGCATCTTGCATGGTTACAAGTGGGGGAAAGCTGAGCCCAGGGAGGTGAAGTAACTTGCTGTAGGGTCATGCAGCAAATCTGTGGCTTGAACGCAGGTCTCCTGACTATGCTTTAACCAAAACATCGTCCTTCCTCATTCTCCTGGCAGCTCAAGAGTATCCTCTGGTGTTTTTTCAGGATGTGCTGGGTGCTATGCAAACATCAGATAGCCCCTGCCACCAGAGACCTTATAGTAGAGGTTAAAGACAAGGAGAGTAACACAAGCAAATGTGTAGGGATGGGCCCACCTGCCCTTTTTAGTGCGGTCTTATGCTTGTGAAACCACTAATGGTACAGGCTAAGATTTTTAAAAGTGATCAGTTTTGTGGCCTTGGGTTTTGGATGCCTAACTTGAGACACCTTAAAGGGGACTTCATTTTCAGGCTGCGGGTCCTGAGCGCTTGCTAACAATCGGGTCCCTCACTGTGCCTCAGCTTTCCCATCTGCAAAATGGGGATAATGAACCTTGCCCACCTTTGCTCCAAGATCTAATATGCTCCAAGATCTACTGATGACAAGCACTAGATAAGAGCTAAATATTGTTGTTTGTTTATTTTATTATTTGAAGGCCTGTCGAGTTGGACACTCACAATCACTAGTCTTGGCTACAGCAGTTTCCTCGCCAATCAAAAACAGCAAATCAGTTTCCTAAGGGGGAGATAGAATTTTGTAGGCTGCTTTATCTGCGCATAAAACCAGTTGTGTGCTGCACCATTTCCACCTGGAACTTTGAAAGCATCAGAACACAGCGGTGGCATATCAGCTGTCCCTCCCCAGGCTGCTAGTCAGTAGGCAGCATGTTAAAAGATGATGAATATCAGGACGCTGCCCGCATTTGCATGCGGGAGCTCTAACTGCCTGCTGGGTTTCTGTCTTACTGTTGTACGATGTTACACGAACGTTTTAATTTGTATCGTGAAGCACGGCTGACAAATGGACAGATCTGTCTGTGCAAAGAGGATCGGCTACCGATGATTTACAACGAGGCTCATGCACGCCAGCTCAGGAGCGTTTCAACATGACGGCCTAATGGTTATTAATTCGGCTGGAATTTACTGCAGTGCCTTTAATCCTGATGGACTCGTTGTGTATTTAATATAAATATTCTAAGTGCTTCTGTGGGATTTTCTCCTAGAACTTGGCATTTAGCTAAAAGGCCCGTGTACGGCAGCTACTGTTTCGTACTGAGTCTTCTCTGCATTTTCTCTTGTTGGACAATCGTTGGGCCAGATTCTGTGCTGCGTCTCCAGAGAGACGGAATGCACAGAAGGCACAATCCAGGCAGGGCCAAGGTGGCTTTATGCCACCTTTGCTGCCCAGATACCAGGCTGCTGCAGGGGCCAAAATGGTCCCTGGCATAATTTAGAGCAGCCCCCAACTGCTCCAACTTATGGCAGCCTTTTCTGGGAGGCAATGCAGCTCAGAATCTCCTTAGAATTGAGGACTATGGTTACTGCCCCTCCTGTCCCAGTGTAGCTTCTCCTCCTGGACTTGTGAGGGTGGCAGTGAAAAGTCAATGACGTCAGCTCTGCTGAGTTCTGCCTGATCGCACAATACTCTTTGTGGCTCCTGTCCATGGCTGGATCGGTGCATGAGGGTAGTAGTGGGGGTCTGGAATGGGTCTCATTGACTATTAGGGTGCAAGAAGTCCGGGAGGGGTGTCTGAATTTTGAACACAGACCACTCTGCCTAAATCGGCTCTGGGGATCTGGGAAATCTGTCCCCCGCTTCGTTCGGCCTAGTTCACAGCTGTGTGTGGTTTTTACTAAAGTTTTTAATTTCCTCTCCTTTTTGTGCTCTGAAAGTCATTTTTTTGCCCGCCCCCCCTTCCCCCCCCCCAAGAGCCACCGAATCTCTCATATTCCAGGTTAGCTCTGGCCCTGTCTAATCGATCCCTGATCCAGACCTTTTCCTCACACAGGTTGATTTGTGTGTGTGCGCACACTCCCTGGCAAGGTGAAGCTCAGCCATGTGTTTCTGTTTAGAGGAAGTTGGCCTGACAGTTCCAGCCCTCCTCCTCGGTGGGAAACGCTGGGTTCCAAAGCCCTGGAAACGTGTGAAGGCTGCAATTTGACTCCCTTGGCTTCCACTTCCCGGCAGAAAAAGAACCACTGGTGCCAAAATTCAATCCTCCCGGGGAGGCTGGAAATATTTAGGACACCGTCCAAGGATCAATAAAATAAAGAACAGGCCAGGATTGTTGGGCTCCTTCAAACAATAAATTCCCAGCCCTGGGGATGCAGCGGCGGTGAGGAAGGCCAGTCCAGAAGGCCGAAGTCGCCATGATTCTTGGGGCATCACGGTCGTGCTGGAGAATTCAGGCCCCGATTCCTTAGAAAGCCTGTTGCTGTAGAAGGGGAGAGACATGATGTTGAGTTAATGCTGGGTGAGTATGTGTTCCCTATGGACATCCAAGGGCAGCAGTCCCGGTCCCCGGTTCCTACCGAAAGGGGGTAATTAGGTTAACCCCAGGTGTGGGATAGTTGTGGCTTTCTCAAGTGTTCACTCATTATTTAGCTGTATTAATGGAACGCCTAGGAGTCCCAGTCATGGGCCAGGACCCCACTGTTCTAGGTGCTGTACAAAAACAAATAGTGCTTGTCCCAAGGGTTTACAATCGAAGTATAGCTGGAGGCATCATCCCAAGGACGGGATCCTTGCGCGGGCTCAGAGAGCAAAACCCCTTCCAAGGAAAGAGAGGATGGGGCTGCAAGTAGCATCTCCTCTCTTTATGGGGAATAATTCCCTGCTCTTTGCCCTCCGGCTGCAACTGTGGCATTAGTGGATTGGGCTGGGAGTTGGGAGACCTGGGTCCTAGCTCTGCCACAGACTCGCTGTGTGACCTTGGGCAAGTCCCTTAAGCTCTCTGTTCCTTCATTGCCTCAGCTGTGTACAGGGGATGCTTGCTCTAGAATTGGCATCTTGGCTTGGTCCTATCTTCCTGGCATTCTAGACTTGCCAGGCGCTGTGAGCATTTGCTGGGAAGTAGCAATCAGAGCTAATGCCCTTTCCTTGGTTCTTCTGATTTGCCATCTTTCTGTTATATTCGTCTAATGTTATGTTCACAGGATGATTAGATAGTGGATGAAAACATACACACTCTTGCTGGAAAATTGCCATGTAGCACAACTTCATATCTTAGAATTCGAATGATAGCACCCAAGAAACCAAAAACACAGAGAGGGAAAACAGGCTGCTCCCTAAGACGGTGAAGGCACAACTCACCCCACCTTGCTTTAAACCCATTTTTTCCAAACTGAATCAGAAGACCCAGTTCACATGGCTTTTGTCAGAGCCCTGCAAGCAGGACCAGGAAATTCCTCACACGCATTGATCGTGTGTCACTGTTCACCAGTTTCCCAATATGCCACCTTTAGGAATTCATCTCTACCCAAACTGGGGGGCCATGAGGTCTCCGAGTAGCCCAATGCCCTCGGTCATTCACTTAAGGAATTGGTCTGAGCTGGGATAACCCATGCTGGAATTTGATGGATGAGAAAAAGAAATGGATGGTGATGATGATACATTGGAAACAAAGGACCCTTTGAAGCTCTTGTGGCTTGCCAGTTAATGTCCCGGTCTTCCCCTTTGACAAATAGAGAAGGGTGTCCCAAGTTATCTTTCTTCTGAGTTAGCAGCTTTATTCCTTTTCTCTGCACAATCTGGAGCTCCTTAGCCAAAAGTGAATCCAGATGCCAGGCAATTTCATCCATTTATCCTGTAGGATCACAGCTCTTTCTCTGTCACCAACCTTGACCACTGTCCAACAACCTGTCCCCCAACCCCCAGCTGCTCTCTGTCATTCCCCTGCATCTGTTTGTCTTCCACCCCCCTCGGTTTACAGTTGTGTGTGTGTGTTTGCACCAGCCCCCTTTGAAGTTGCTTGGTTGTGCGTTTGGCCTCCCCTTCCCTTTTCTCTCCACACCCCTTGCCTGCCCCTGGTGTGTGCATTTCTGGCTGAACGCTGCCTCTCTGTCTGTGTTGGCTGAAATGAAGAAAACGGGTCACCATCTGTGACCTCCTTTATGAGCCAAAATGTTGGAGTTTGGCTCCTGTTACAGCTGGTCTAATGCAATTGCTTCCTCCCTGTCCAACAGACACACCCTGGGAACGAGGCGGAGAAACGGGCTTTTCCCAAAACCTTTGAGGATATGGAGCCTGAACGGGTCTGGAGATTATAATCCAGAATTTGCATTATTTGCCACTGTCCTTCCTCCAGCTAGGAGATCTGCGCCCAGGGAGAAATTGACAGGAGTTGGAGGTGAGGCCTTGTCTGCACTGGTGTTTTAGCCGAGGCCGCAGCTGCTGCACTGGAGCAAACCCCTGGCGTAGGCCCTAATTTGCACTAATGAAAATTCTGCGGCACCACTTTAAACTGTCTGCGCTAGGGCTTCGCATTGGTGTGTCTTAAATCTCGCAGTAGGCGAGGCCTCCGGGCATGTCTGCACTGGAGCTGGAAGGTGTCAATTGCAGCTCAGGTAGACCCTACCCCTGCCAGTTGTGATTGGAGCTAGTGCGCTAAAAACCAGCAGCCTAGCCATGGCTGGCTGTCCCAAGTATGGACCTAGGATCTTGGACAGGATTGTCCTGAGGACGACTCACCCCTCCTGCCATTGCAGCTATGTGGCTATTTTTAGCACACTAGCTCCATCCCAGCTAGCATGGGTATGTCTGCCTGAGCTGGAACTTGTATCTTCTAGCTCCCGTGTACACATTCCTTAAGTGACGTGGTCTCAGACACGATCAAGACCTACTCTGATCGAATTACCTCCGGACCCCAGGGTAAAACCCACCTATGATGATAGAAGCTACGGAGAATGAGGAGGGAGATTAAGAGGAAGCAGAGGAAAGAGACACCCCTGAGAAATCCTTTAAAGGGCCATCTGCCATCAAAACCATGTTGCTCCCTTGGCCGGCTTTCTGTGCGCACAACTGTTAAACAGCTGCCGAGCCTCTCCCCAGAGGTGGCTGCACGTTCTGAAGTTTACAGCCTTGTAAAGGCATTTGGGGGCCCCCTCTGGATGAAAGGCCCACGGTTAAATGCCAGCTCATTATCACTAATATTGTTGTTAAATTCCAAGTGAAACACTTAAGGCTGAGCGTCCTCTAATGATGGGATAATTAGGGAGGCGGCTCTGTTGCTGTAGTTTTACAAGGCTGTAATGAAGCTCTCACAGGGACGGGCTCTCGCTTCAGGCGGGGTGAGGGAATTGGGTGCTTGCCGAGGAAATGGTGAACGGGAGCCGTCTATTATTATTATGCTGCCGATGTAACAATGGGCACCATTAATAAGAATCCAGCTTCTTCTCCAACCCACCCCCTTCCCAGCAGCTTGGGAGGAACCCCCTTGGTTTCGTGGCCAACCGGGAGATGCGTGGAAGAGAATTCATCTAAGGGCCACTTCCGCTCTCCCTGCTGTGGCTGCTAACTTTGCATGGAGTTCAGTGGCTTGCTGAGGCGCTGGGAAAAGGGTGGCCTTGGGGCGTAGCAGAGCGGAGGTGGGGATGGGGCAACCGGGATAGGCTTTGCGGAGGAGGAGAGAGCAGTGGGGATAGGAGAGCGGAGGAAAGAGCAAGTGTGGAGCAAGAATCCGGGTTCAGCATAGCCCTTCCGCGCCCCCCGCCAACGTTAAATAAGTGGGCGCTGGCATGGCACGGGTTGTGACAGCACCCGCTGTGTCGAGCCTGCTGTCAAAGCTCCCCGACACCAGCCAGTCTTCTGCTGACCCAGCGCTGCCAGCCAGTCTGCCGTGGAGCTCTGGAAACCTCTGGCTGTCTCTGCTATCCGCCAGACGTTCTGATTCCAGGCCACTTTGTTTCCAGCATTTGTGCCTGATGTCAGTGAGGGCTTCAAGGCTCGCTCCCTGCTGGCAGGAAACTCACTGCCACATCCGGCGGTGCCAAGAATAATACATGTCTGTGCTAAAGGCCTGGGTCTCATCTGAAGACCCGCAAGTCTCATGACAGATAAAGTACTGTGGGAGGAAGGAGGCTTAGAATTACTGTTAAGCCTTGGATGGGAATATGAAAGAAGCATATGTGGGAAAGAAACAGGACTGTCAGTCTCCTGGGGGTAGGATCCACAGGCAGTGAGAGTTTGAGATATCTATCCTAGGTACTGATATGGTCCTCATCTGAGCGCCTCACAATCGTTAATGCATTTATCCTTGCACAATCTCTGTGAGACAGCCCAGTTATCCCCATTTTAGAGATGGGGAAACCTAGGCACAGAGAAGCTAAGTGACTTGCCCAAGGGCACCCAGGAAGTCCGTGGTGGAGCAGGGAATGGAATCTGGGTTTCCCTAGTTCTAGGCTAGTGCTCCTAATCACTGGATCATCCTTCCCCTCTTTAACCTGCTAAGGGAATGTGCCTTTGGGCCTAACACAAATGGCCAAAGATGCGTGTTTGTGCCACACTGAAAAGGGAAGCTGCGGCGTAGTGTAAAGGAAATTGAATGTGATGTCAAAATACATTGTACAGATTGTATCAATCACTGCTGATGAAAGAGGGATCAGATGTTTACATGGATAACAAGAAGAGTCGGAGTTAGAACCGTTATACTAACAAAAAGATGTAGGGAAAGAGAGAATCCTCAGGGTTTGGATTTTAAAGCCATCTCTAAACCAGTCTCTCAATCCTAATCTAAAGTTAGGGTGATGCCTTCATGGGGGGCAGATTATCCCACATTTGTCTACTGCATGATTCTTACACCTGCCTCTGAGCTGGCATCTGCTGGTGGCCACTGTCAGAGACAGTGCCTGGATCTCATCCATCCTGGCAACTCCTCTGTACATCTTAAATTCACTAACAACCTCAATTTTAAACAAGATGTCATACGCTGCCTCTATTCCCAGAATTGCCTCCAGTTTGCCAGGGTCTAGGGACCCTGGTGCTGAGTGTAGGTACCAGCATATCATGGAGTGCACAGGGCGAATGACTGAGTTTTCCAAAAAAGATTAGCGACTGTGAGTGCTCCAATTTTGAGGGCCCAAATTCAGCCACCTTTAAAGGGGTGAGTGCTCAGGGCCTTCTGAAAACCAGGCCTCTTTAAGATGACCTCAGAGGGGTCCCAACATCATGAGTCAATTCTGACCGTGGTTTATGACTCCCTGTCTCAGACAGGGTAATGCATGGGAATGCAGCACGGATTAGTGAGGATATTGCGAGCTGCACTTCCCCTACACCTGGGGAGACCAGAATCCCATCTTACGGTTCTTTTCCTGCTTATGAAGCAGTGTGATTTCATGGTCGCTGGGTGTCAGCTGTCACTGGCTGTCTTGCAAGATGCCAAAATTCTATCCCCATCCCCAACTTTGATGTCTTGTCTTTATCAGCCTGGCGCTTTCCCCTTGGTCTGCAGCCTCTCACACAGAGGAATGGCTCGCTGTAGCCATGTTACTGGCTCAAGGCTGTCAGCTAGCCTGAGCCCTGCTGCTGGTGTGATGACCATGGTAGGCCTTTCAAAACACGGGTGGTCTCGCTGGAATTGTTGCTGGCTATCAAACAGGGTCTGCTTGTCCGAGCTGGTCTCTTTAGAGCTCCCAGCTGGCTTCCTACAAACCACAGATCTGTCCTGAACCCTTTAAAAATCCCTTCAGATGGGAACTGGGGAGGATCTGTGTGAGAGGAAGCTGGGATCATGTGATAATCTGCCAGGCAATCAACCTGGGAAATCGGAGACATTTCCAACAGGAAATGGAAAAATTCAGGCAGGTGTCAGTCCGGGAAGGAAAATGCAAAATCTTTAATGCTGCACAGTGCTGTCCGGCCAGGATCCATATAATAATGTATGGATGCCTCTTTCCCGTACCACCCATCTACTGAAGGAGGCCACGTGGGCTACTGCAAAGGCACTGACTGGGAACCAGGAGAGCTGGGTGCTATCCCCAGCTCTGCCACTGACCTGCTGCGTGACCCCGGGCAAGTCGCTTCCCCTCTCTGTGCCTCTGTTTCCCCTCCCAACCTTTGTCGTGACTCTTCAGGTTTTCTAAGCCCTTCGGGACAGGGCTGGTCTCTCGCTGTGTCTTTGCGCCGTGCCTGGCCCAATGGAGCCCTGACCGCTGCAGAGGTTTGAAGGTGCTATTGTAATACAAATAATACTAAATACTCGCTGCTGTGCCTCCTTTATACAGCACTAGTCTGTTAGGCTCTAGCTACTATTCCACATGCAACCCCCCCCCACGCCACGCCCCGCCCCGCTAGTGTGCGTACACTGATGCCCCGTCTTGTGCAGGGACACCCTCTTTTTTGGGGAGGGGAGAAAGGCTTCAGGCATTGAAGACTGGCTTGGGATCCTGCTTCAATTCCTGGCTGGGCCACAGACTTCCTTTGTAACCTTGGTCACGTCATTTAATCTCTCTCTACCTTGGGTCACCATCTGTAAGCTGGGGATATACTGGCTGTGTCTCGTTAGATTGTAAGCTCTTGGAAGGCAGGGACTGTGTGTCTGTCTGGGCAATGCCTAGCATAATGAGGCCCTGTAGGTGGAAATAGTGATGTACATAGCATGTGATGGGGCATCCACACCCCACACTGGCCAGGAGCAGGGTAATGATCAGCTCTAGCTGCAGTAAGTGTCCGTTTTGGGTGGAGGGGTTAAATTGGGAGGGGGCTGGTGAAGAGCCCAGCTCAGCTGGGAGCTGGCTGGCTGAGAGGGAGAGCAGACCACCAGCTCCCTCTTGTGAGAGGAGCTGGGACCAGGCACTGACTCCAGACTGCGGCCTGCCAGAGCCTCCCGGAGGAAAGACAGGGGTGACATGGGGCTGTTGGTTTGATTTGCTCCCAGTGACTTTGTCTGTTGTTGTTGAGTAAGGACAGCAACAGCCAGATAAACACTGGCTGGCTTTTACACCCAACCAGGAACACAGCAGAGAGTTTTGCTCCCGGACTTGCAACAACCATCACGCAGCCCTGTCTGTACAGGGCCATGGTATCCATGTACACCCGACACTTGTGCATCTCAGCCCACACACCTGCCGTCTTCCTTCCTCCAGCATCTCCCTCCCACGCTGATGCACGTGGCCCACTTCCATTTCACCCAGGCTGCATCAGAGCCCCCTTCCCCCACATTCAGACTCTGGGGTGGAGACTTTATAGGGTCTCGTACACAGCTTTCTCCTTCTGCATGTCGTCGTGGGCTATTTCACAATGATTTCTTGCTTTCATTTGCTCGCTGGCTCCAGTGACTGTGTTTACTAAATGTGTTCTAATGTAGTCACCTTTCACCCCCCGACTAGACGCCTATTGATCCAGTATAGATCCCAACGAAAGGCTGTTACGAAAACAAAAGCTCCCAGGCTCTGTCAGCACTGTCAACAGCTTCACTGGAGAGAATGGGATGTGGGAATGGAGACTTCTGGGATGGCGGCTAGCAGCAGAGGGCACTCTTGCCAATCTTTAGTGTTATGTTCATAGCATACACCCAGAGAAGTCAGTTTAGATGAGCTATTACCAGCAGGAGAGTGAGTTTGTGTGTGTATGGGGGTGGGGGGGATGTGAGAAAACCTGGATTGATGCAGGAAATAGCCCGACTTGATTATGTAAAGAGTGGTCACTTTGGATGGGCTAGCACCAGCAGGAGAGTGAATTTGTGTGGGGGGGTGGAGGGTGAGAAAACCTGGATTTGTGCTGGAAATGGCCCACCTGTTGATCACTTTAGATAAGCTATTACCAGCAGGACAGTGGGGTGGGAGGAGGTATTGTTTCATATTCTCTGTGTATATATAAAGTCTGCTGCAGTTTCCACGGTATACATCTGATGAAGTGAGCTGTAGCTCACGAAAGCTCATGCTCAAATAAATTGGTTAGTCTCTAAGGTGCCACAAGTCCTCCTTTTCTTTTTATAAAAATCTAAAATACTCTTGCTGGAAGCCTGCAATGTAACATGACTGTCGTTCTTGGAATTCAGGATGATAACGCTCAAGAACCCCAAAACAGAGCAAGACAAAGCAGGCTGCTCCCTAAGGCCCAACTCAGCCCACCTTACTCTAGGCTGGCTCTCTGCAGACTGACTGCGCAGGATCCAGATCACACAACCCTTAGTGTTCGAGCAGGACCAGGAAATGTGATGTCTTGTAATTTTAAGACAGTTTTCAGTGACCACAACTAGCTGCTCTGTCGGAAAGGAATCACAAAGGCTGAAGTAGGGGGATGGAAATGCCTTCTTTTTGCCTGCTTGATCACTGTGGGAGAGCAGCCCCGAGGGCTGAGAGTACAGAGCATGGCCATGCTCCTTGGAGTCAATACAAGACATGCTCAGACGGATTAATGAAATGTCTTAATCATCCGAGTAACCAAGGAAAGGTGGTCTTATTCTCAGAGCCTGTGACTCTGGATATCTGGGCTCAATTCCCAGCTCTGCCACAGACTCCCTGTGTCACTCTGGGCAAGTCACTTAATCCCCCCGTGCCTCAGTTTTCCCCTTATCTGTAATACAAGGATGATAACACGAAAGGGTGATGGTACCAAAGGAAACATTTAGCAGTGGTTGTGAAGGGCTCAGATGCTGCAGTGACAGGCATGGTATAAGTATCGAGAGAGAGAGAGAGAGATCACTGAAAGAACCATGCTGCAGAAGGATACTGCAGAATGTGAAAGTGGACCAAAGGAAGAGACTGTGGGTGGAATAACTCCTCAGCCAGGTCACTGAAGAAGCCACTCGGGGGCTTTTGGAAGGCAGGGCCTGCCAGTTCCTGACATATACCGTACGTTACTTGTAACCTCCTGTGTCCAGCTCCGCTTGGGTGGGAGGGCTATTTTGGCACCATAAAACACAGCTTTCTGACAGCTGTTTCCTGCTGGAGCCGCAGTTGGCGCGGGAGAGGGGATCAGTTTTCGATGGGAGACACCTCGCAAATTTTTAGACCGGAGAGCTCCATTGGTCCAGTGGAAGGAGCTTCCGGAAAACACAGCAGGGGTCAGGGGCCAAGTGGAGCTACTGGACAACAGGACTGCACTCAGGATGCCGAAGTGTCTCTTATTGCCTGGAGAGTGGGTCACTACTCCACGCTGAAGTGGGCATGTGCAGGGGAGATTTATCAATGTGGTAATTTGTGATTCTCAGTGTCCTGGGAAGACCTAGGATTGCTAATACGCCTCATGCAAGCAAGTGCCCCAGGCTGCCTGATCCACAGCCCCTCCTGCTCCCACACGTTCACCGATGACACACGCACTGCTGCGCTGGCCCCAGCAATCTGCACACGCCTGACAACACGCATGGCGCTGATCTTTCCATAGCAACCTGGCAGATCTCCTAGGTGGATACGCTGCTGAGCCAGCCCGCCAGATCTGGAATTGCTTTGTACCCCTTAAATAGCCATTCAGATGCACAAGTTCAGGTTGGGCCTTGTAGATCAGCATCTGACTAGGCATGTCCGGTTGGCTCATGTAGGGGATGCGAGACACAAGAAGGCTGGCCCCACTCTTGGGAGCAGGGTATGGGTACGGTGGGGCACCAGTCGAAGGGATAAGAAAGGTGGCGACTTTCTCCGGCTCAACTTGTGCAATAGTGGAAGTGAATTGCACAGCCATGGCCCCTCCATGGACCGTGTCCCCTCCCCACCCCCTCCGGCGATTGTGCATGGCAGAGTTGGACTCTTTGGATAAAGTGCTGCAATAAAGGGCAGGAAGTAGCCGTCAATCGCTTTTTATTTAACATCCACTCCCCTTCTCTCCCCAGCTTCTCTAAGGAATGGCTGTCCCAGAGGCAATGGAGGGAACCAACACGAGAAAGAAGGCTCCTGGAATATGCTGCACGGCTGCCAAACATCAACATGTGTGACCATAAAACGCAGCCCCAGGAAGCGGAATGCGATAATCTCGAACCTGAAATTGTGAGCCAGGGGAGGTGAGAGGTAAGAGCCGAGATGTACCAGCTGCTTCTCCCCAGGTGTCCTCCTCATGGCACTGGAAAAGGGCACTCTCTTGGGGTGCTAAGAATGAGGTCATGTCCAGGCTCCTGACTGTCTGTGGGGCAAGTGGGGGGGGGGATTCTTCCCAGAGGCACTCGTATCCTAATTCCCTCCCCCTTCTCCCTCCCCCGCTCCCTCCATGCAAAGCCTCACTCAGCCTCCTGCCACACAGCTGGGCTGCAGCCCTGGGAGATGGGAGCACATAAAACCCCTTTCCAGAACGAATCTGAGGGGCTTTAATCTCTTGGCTCCTTCTCTGAGCTGCATCAGACACTTGACACATTTAAACCCTGTGACCCTCAGCCCCGCTCCAGTCTCCTCTCTTTAGCAGGACCGAATCAACAAAGGGTGGATGTTAAAGGAAGGCCAAATAGGACCACTGAGCAACCTGGGACTTACAAGGGATGGTGTATGGAGAGCACAGTGATGCTTCAGCAGAGGAAGGAGATTGGAGAAATCTCTCTCTTTCTCTGGTCGAAGAATCTGTCTCCCTCGGCTGACGTTTTGAGCGACTTGTTGGTTGAGCCCAGCTGCAGAAGAGCTTGTGATGAGCCATCTCCGCTCTCCCCGGCCCAAAAGATGCTGTCGTAGTGACTTGGTGCCTCCAGAGACCAAGAGGTTCACAGGAGAACTTAACCTTACATGAAAAGCATCAACGCATGTGAACAAATATGCAGGGCTGCTAAACTGCAGAGTGAACTAACAGCTCCCTGGAGATCCATGTGAGCTGAACCCTAAAGGGCAGCTGGCCAGGGATTTATCCCCACAACTACTTAAAAATCAAACATTTCTATTTTTGGGGAGGAGGGGGGAAGCCCTTCTGGGTGAAGTTTAATGCAGATGAATGTGAGACGGCTGGTGGGACTCATACCAGGCGGAGATTAGAAAGGGTCCATGTCACGGTTTTGCTTTCTTCTGTTCCTCTCCTGCCATGCAGCTCAGATGATACACCTCATTGCTGCCTGGCAGCATCCTAGGCTGTTGTTTCAATCCTTCGCCCTTCGGCAACCTGGTTAATGCCCCTCTGTTCTGACCTGCAGCAGCCGCGTTCTGTCTCAGGCTGGGCAGAAGAGTGCAGCGATGCCGTCAAAGTGGCAGGAAAGGGGGGTTGAGCTTTGGCATTCCTGCTTGGACTCGAATGAGAAGCAGCAGGTGTGGAGAGAAGGGAGAGGCAGTGAGTGATAAATTCAAGAGAGGATCAAAGACCCGGACAAGAGATTTTAGTTGCAGAGGGGAAAGAGTTGGATTTTAGAGACACGAAAGAAGTGACAGGACTTCACGAGGGACAGACTATGCGGGGAGAAGGCGAGAGCTGGAAGTCGGCCGTGGAGTTGTCAGTGGTGACAGAGAAGGGCAGCTTGGGATGAGGAGAAGAGTTTTCAGGTTTGAAGCGAGGGTGGCAGCATGTCTGGTGTGCCAAGCTGGTGAGAAAGTGGCAGGTGGGTAATGGAGAGGTTGATGCTGTAGATAACACTCTGGGAACAAGATCTAAATGGAAAGAGCTGTAGGTAGAGTTGGCAGGGACTGGAGGTGCAAAGGTCTATCAGGAGAAGCGTGAATGGAGGGAAGGGATTGACCTTAAAGTGAAGGATCTCAGCAGAGTTCGAGCAAGAGTAGAGGGAGCGAATGCTGTGGGTTAGAGGCACAGAGGAAGCAAGAGGCTAGACTGTACATCAACAGGAGAAACTGATTCAGTGTCACTTTCCACACGATTTCAGCTAGGGACTCGTCTCCAGCTTTCCTGACCCTGCACCCCCGCTATTCCTCTCTCCCCACCCTTCCAACCAGCCTCCTTTCTGACCTGCAGTGACCCTGGTCAAGGCAGGTCGAAACATTTTCCATCGACCCTTTTAACTTTTTTTAACGGGAAATTGGATTTTCGACTGAACGGGAAATGGTTGCAGAAAGTGCCTGCTTTAATTGAGAGAAATCCAAATGCTTTTTGTTGGGAAACTGAAAATTAGCATCTGAAGGGCACTGAAATGAAAGTGCTTTTCACTGCCAAAAATGGAGAGGGGGAAAAAAAAGATTAGTTTCTGTGTTCAATGTGTCTTATCTGTGGGAAGCTTCCTTCACAAGGGTAGATCAGCCTGGTGTGGGCTTCAAACTTGAACCACCCAAGCCCCGGCTGGCTTTGCTTTTACCCCAAACTTGGGCTGGAAAGACCTAGCACTGCTCTTTGGCCTGAAGCCCCTAACCAACCTCTGAGGAGATGATCAGCTGGTGCAACCGCCAGGGGGACGCTTGAAGCTGGATCTTGGTGCGGGGGTCGGGGGGAAGCAGATAGTGACAAACGTTCAGTGAATCCCAACAGCCCCAGGGCAGAGGCAGCGGGTCTAGAGTAGGGAGGATGTGCGATCATTGCCTTACCTGGTTCTTCAAACCTCCAGGGAAAGGGCGGCCAAACAGCCTGAGACTTAACAGACCCCGCTTCTATCAATTTCTCTCTCACAAGTTTCCTTGGGCAAGTCGCTTAGTCACCCAGTGTCTCAATTCTTATCCCTCTGCCTGTCCAGATCCACCCCAGGACAGAGGCTTTTTATGGCCTGTGTTTGTACAGTGCAAGCACAATGTCTGGTTCGTGTCTGGGGCCCATAGGTGTGGCTATGATACAAATAAATAACAATCAGAGTGGTGATGCTGCGTTTGCATTTGCGCCCCATTCTCCGCTATCACCTGCAGTCGCTGTGGGGAGCTGAGAGATCCACACTCTTGGCAGACCGATTGCATCCCTTGGCTTCTGGCACTGGAGAAAGCCAGGTGTCGCCCCAGTTTAATTTGTTTTAAATTAATTTGCAGAGGGGGGAGCTGGAGGAGGCTGAAAGGTGAAAAGGGCTTTTCCTGGAGCCTTGCCAACTGGGAAATATCCTTTGCAACTTCTTTGTGAAAGCTCTGGTGGCTTCCCAGGGAGGGAGACCTAAATTCTATTCAATTAGGGGTAATAAAGGCCCATGTTTTCCTGCCTCCTAATCCCCAGCAAGGTTGGGAATTTACATGGGCAATCAGTTAATCCATCTACCACTCTCATCGCCAGCCCCTCTGACGCATGGTTTTGCTTTCTCAAGCCAGCACACAGGAGCAGAAAGCTTCAGGTTAGAAGGACCGGGCAGGCTTTACGGTGAGGCTTGCCCACCAAAGTAGCCTGAGTTGGATATTCTGCAATGCGATTGTTCAGTCCCTGATCATACATCTGGGGCCTTTCTTCCAGGGAGACCTCTTTCCAGGGTGAAAAGAAGCACCATTCATCAATTCCAAGGCCAGCAGGGACCCCGTGATCATCCAGTCTAATCTCCTGCATAACACAGGCCAGAGAACTTCATCAGAATAATCCCTATTTGAATTAGTGCAGATCTTTCCAAAAACTGTCCAATCTTGATTTAAAAACTGCGAGTGGTGGAGAATCTACCACAGCCCTTGGTAAAATTGTTCTAGTGGTTAATTACTCACCCTCACAGTTAAAAATGTACACATTGTTTCTAGTCTGAGTTTGTCTAGCTTCAACTTCTAGCTTTTGGATCCTGTTAGATCTTTGCCTGCTTGACTGAACTATTTGTAGGTTATGAACTGGAATCAAGTCACTCCTTAATCTTCTCTTTCCCCCCCCCGCCCCCCTCCCCCAGCTAAATAGAGTGAGTTCCTTGAGCCTTTCACTACTAAGGCACCATCATAGGCAGAAAGCATCAGCTGGGAAAGGTCGGCCCAATCTTGGGTGGACTGAATCCAGGGTTAGAAGTGAATGGTTCTTGGGTTTGAATCCTGGCTCTGCCACAACTTCCTGTGTTCTCCGAGTCATGTTGCTGCTCGGTGCCTCAGTTTCCCTATCTGGAAAAGGGTGATAATGCTGCTTCCCTACCTTATCTGTTAATGTTTGTGCACCGCTTGGGAAATATAGCATGTCCCACAAATGCTAAAGATTATTTTGTAACAGATCCATGACCATCTAGAACATCACAGCAGTCACTATGCTGTATGGTGTGAACATCCTGACAGCAAGGTAGATAGTTCCCATATTCTCCTGCTCTATGAAGCACAAGCTCCCTCTACAACTGAACTTAAAAGTGACTCTCCATTAGCTATGAGCTGTATAGGGCCTATGACACACCGTTGAGCAATTCTCATTCTGATCAGTAGAAGACAGCAGTGACACATGCTAGCCAATTAGTTACAACGCAGATGCCAAAGGGTGTTGACTGTTGTTGAATTTCACACACACACACGCCACGCTATGTGAGTGAGGCATGAGATGGGACTGACACGGGAGACAAGTAGGGTCGGGAAGAAGGATGATGCCAGACCTTGCCTCTATGCAGGCACTAGAGAAAGCCGTCCATGTGCTCCAAAAGTCAGAGGGCTGGCGAGACAAACACAGCTGCAGATAAAGGGAAGGGAATGGTATCAACAAAGCAGGGCATTGACTTAGTCTCTGTTGCAAGGAAGTTGGTGTAAGCACCTCAGAGTTGAAATAGGCCTGTGATCTTGGAAAGGTCTCCCTCCCGACTAGTTCTCTAGTTCATCGGTATCTTCTAGGATAAGACTGTGTTGTGGTCCAAAAGGCCTGTCAAGAGAGGCGGCTCTCAGCCAGACCATGGTCTGAGAAGAACCAGGGCGCTGTTTGTCTTTGGGAGACTCCTCCCTTGCGGTGATAGCAGTGGGGAATTGTTGGTACGGGTCTCTGCGGTGCAGCCACAGCCCCCCAGCCGGGGACTGCACGGGTTTCATGGAGTGGGCTGTGAAGGGAGGCGAGAAACACCCAGAGTCTCAGTGCAGGGATCCCCCCGCGCTCACGCATGAAACAAGCGCTGCTGTATTTCAAAGGAGCTGTGGGTGGAAGCTTTGCAGGGGTGAACTAGGCTTTGCTGGGCCCCGGAGAAGGAGTGAGAATGAGATGGGGAAAAGGGATTTCTCAGCTGCAGGGGCATTCCCGGGGGGAGATGACTTCTTGTTTGACAAGCACAGACCAGCGTGCCAGGAACTGAGGGAAAGTCGTTTGATAATGTGAGCTGAGGGCCGGGCGGAGAATGTCACTGGCCTGATTGGTGAAGCATTGAGGCTTCCCAGCTGCTTCATCCCATGGGCCGTAAACAAGGGAGTCTCTGGGATCCATCCACAGCTGCTTTGATACTGGACTGTAACCTCAGGGCTGGGGTCCAGTAATTCCCATCTGCTTTAGCCCATGGACAGTAGAAGGAAAAGGATGCTTTCAGTCCCTAGTATCAGACAGATCTGGGTTCAACAGAGCCCTGGGGCGGACAACAGGGGCCCTGGATTGAGCCAGTGCCTGGCTCCTATGCGCAGAATTCCCCCGACTCACCACCCTCTGCAGCATCCCCCCCCCCCCCCCCTGTCATTGACACGAAGCGTCGCATGACTGTCCCTGCTGGTTCCCAGCCCGGGGGCAGAGATCGCCATCTGTTCCTTCCTCACCACGGCTCTCTCTTCATTAGGGACTTTGCCACGATCACCTCTCTGCTGCGGTTATCGTCTCACTAACCCCAGTCTGGCGCTCATTTCTCCATCTCCTTCACCACCCCATCCAGCTTGCTACCACCCCCACTGTTGTCATCCTTGCAGCCGTGTGCTGACACATCACAAAGCAGCCTCTTGGTTCGCCTTAAACAAAGGAGTGATTTCCAGGGAAGGGGGAGAGAGCTAGCCAGCCTGGATGCTGCTCTGCCACTCCCCTTCTCAGCATTGCTTTGTCTCTAGAGGAGTTAATGAAAGCCAGGTGCAGGCTAGAACATGAATTGCAACAGTGCACATGTGTCTGTTTCCAGGCATCAGGTGTTCTAGTTAATTCATAGGCCACAGAATTGTATAATTAACTCTTCAGCGGCTGAATAAAAAATATAGTGCAAAAGTCGTCCCGCTCTATCGCATGTCTAATTACCACCCTTACCATTTGCCCTGTGCGGTGTGCAATCATTCACACCCGTGCAAAATAGCTGCAACGTGCTCGCAGTCCAACCTGGTGGCATTCTGTGCTGGGGCAAAGACTATACAAGCTGGAGTGTGGTGAATCGAGACTCATGGCCTCTTTCCTTTCCCATTATTGTCCCTCGCCCACTGTTGCCATCAGCATCAATGTGTCTGTCGCTCTTGCTGTCCTCACTGATGCATGGCGCGAATGCTGCCCGGTGGGGTTGCTGTGTCTGTGGGGCCCACCTTTAATGGGCTACTCAGCGCATCAGCTCTCTCCTCTTTGAAAGAGGCCCAGGCTTCCAGAGGAGGTCAGCACAGAGTAATTATGGGGAGGATGGGGTTTCAGAGGAGGCTGTGATTTAAGAACGACTCTGATCCATTATTATCTCAAGCCATGATAATAAACTCAAGACGGGCACTTTGTCCCCCTAGAAACCTCTCGGTGAAAGGCAGGATGGGCAAATGGGAGGCATGAGATGAAATGAGGAGGTCCCCCGGGAGCCAGGGCTGCAGCGCTCTTCCTGGAGCTGATCTTTCATAATTGGGTTTCTAGATGCCGCCCGCTCAGCGCACTCCTCCTCCAGACTCCTTGGGCCTAATTTCATAACGTGGCCGCTGATGGTGGGAACAGAAGACAGAGTAACATCATTCCCAGTAACACTATCGCCTCCCATTTGATCTGTGAGAGAGGCACATAACAATCAGAATTAGGAAGTCGGAGATAAAGTTACCCTGATTTGGTCCATGGATGGAAAAGATTTACCTCTGAAAGCAGGAAATTTCATACGCTTAAAAGTATATATAATGTGTAAACAGTGTTCAAGCTTTTAAATGCCTTCTGGCCCCTACTGATTCACAAGCAAACGGGTCCAGGCAGAGGGCCAGGGAGGGATTCCTCAGATTGGATCGATTTTGATGTCGCTTTTCAAGTCCCATTTTTGATTTCTCTGTGTGTGTGGCTGTGTAAAAGGCTTGCTGAGAAACTCAAAACCCTGTGAAACTTGCCAAGGTTTGGAGATTATGGTGAGCACTAAACTCAGAGCAGATTTGCACAGACGGTTCAGTAAAGTTCAGCGGCCTTTGGAGCAGAGTTAGACTCAAAACGGGGGCTGAGTTGTTGCAAATCAGCTTATTTTATGTAGTTTGGGGAAGGGTTGGTCAAAGAGCGGAATGACAAACCTGATCTCTGAAAACGTTCCCAAGAAAGGAGCTGATTTTGCCAAGGGGTGTGTGTGTGGGCGGGGTCACATTCTGGGTGTCTGTCCAGCCACCCCCTGGGTTTTTGTTAATAGTGAGTGTTGCACAGATGTTTGGTTGATAGAGAATTCATGTAAGAGGTTGGTCATTTGTCATTCTCCTCTTTAAAAAAATAGTAAGTTTGTCAACCAATCGGGGAGCAAATAAAAACCAAATAAAATAAAATAAAATTCAACCACGTGTTATAAACGAAGGATAAAGCTCTACACTGTTTGGGTCCTGTATATGACCCTGGTATCTGAGCCCTTCACAATCTTTAATGGGTTTATCCTCACAATCCCCCTGTGAGGTAGGGCAATTATCCCATTGTAATGAGGGGAAACTGAGGCATAGGGAGACTGGGTAACATGCCCAAGGTCATGCAAGAAGCCTGTGGTAGTGTAAGGACTTGAACTCTCAACTTTCAAGCCCAAGTGTCTGAGATGGGTCAGAACCCAGGTCTCCACAGTCCTAGTTGAGTGTGCTGTCCACTAGGCCACATTGTCTCCACCTCAGTATCATTCCACCCCACCATGATTATTCTTTATTACTTGTAATGCAGTAGTTCCTAGGAGTCCCAGTCATGGCCCAGAACAAAAAGACGGGCCCTGCCCCAAAGAACCTGTTCAGAGAGCACAATTCTTCACTAATTTTTCACTACAATCAGTTGGCTTTTTTGAGCCCTTATTACAATATGCTCCCATTTAGCCGAAACCCTATTGTGCAAACCCCATCTTATCTGAATCCCTTCCTAGTCCCCCAGCACAAGCTATAGGGGGATTGATGCCTTCTACAGCACGTATCTCATGCAAGGGGACATGGGAGGGATATCACAGAGGTTTTGGATAAGAGAGCAGAAACCACCAGCCAGGACTGCGTGGAGAAGGGGGACCACAACAAGCCCATGGCTGCGGAGCAGGTCACTGCAGCCCCCTACTCTCATCACTGGAGTGAATGAGTGGGGCCATGACAAGGGAGCTGCAGAGGGCCCCCTGCATTGCCGGAGGTCCGCCGTTACCTGATCCCGGCAGTTGCGGGGTACAGGGGGTGGGAAGTCTAGGGAGGCTGTGCTCCTGGTGGACAGAGCAGCCCCCCAGGGCAAGACAGCGAGGAGGAGGGAGAGGAAGACTAGCCCCCGGATGTGAAGGAGACCACCCTGCTGCTGAAAGGCTCCGAATAAAATCTGTCCCCCACATGCAATGCAGGTAATCGGGAGTATGCTGGTAATAGTATAATATGTGTATTGTGATAGACACCCCCTCACACACAATCATGATGGCGGCCCTGTTGTGCTGAGGACAATGCTGAGACACAATGAGAGACCATCCCTACCCCCAAGAGCCAACCAGTTCAACAGGCAAGACGGAGAAAGGAAGTACCGTTATCCCTGTTTTACACAGGTCGGGAACTGAGCCCCGAAGACAGAAAGTGACTTTGCCCCAGGCAGATGGTGGGAGAGCCAGGAACTGAACCCGACTCCTTGGCCAGTGCCTTAGAACAGACGATTAGGGCGAGAGCGAAAGAACCACTGTGCTGATTTCACACAAAATTGTCTCTTCTTGTGAGAAAAGGCTTGTGTTCCCAAAGCAACGGCCCGGCAGGCGCTTGGTCTGTGATAATAATAATAATCACAGTTAATAATGCTTGGCTGTACCATGGCTCAGTGCCTTCTCCTGGCCCCTGCTTTGAGCTTAAATCCATGTTATTGCAGCTGAGAAATAACCATTTAAAAAGCAGTTAAGTAGCCTGCTCAGGGAGTGTTTTTCATAGTTCTAGCAAATCAAGGGTTCAGTTTCACTAAGTGTGGTGGAAAAACAGGCTATGGAGAGATTCCCATGAGCATCTGCAGGACCTAGAGTATCCTATATAACCCAGGCGTTTGCCAAGTTGGAGGGGTCAGGCAAGTTCTTCCCGGGTTATTAGGAGTTGAAGATTATGCCATGGGTCATTTGGGAGTTTAGTTTCCATAGATCAGCAGTAATGTCCTGGATTCAACCCATGAGAACTTGTTCACTCATACTGTAAAATATACAGGGTTCCTCACAGAGGGTACTGGAGAACATTTAATCAAGTGGGCATGAGGAGAGGAGGAGTCCAGAGCTGAGAAAAAGCAAGAGGAACTGCTCCGAGTGGGGTGGGAGGGGATTGTTGTGTCAGTCATTTCCACAGTGGATACAGCTGAGCTCAAGGTTCCATTGGGCTCCCTGCTTGTCGTGCAGTAAAACGCAGTCCAGAGAGTTGACAGAGCCATGGACTGAGGTCTCTTGCTCCCCATTTCTTCGCCTTAATGCCCCCCACTGGGTGCCACCTTTAGACTGAGCATCAGGGAATAATAATTGCCTCCCACAGTCAGGGGGCAAAGCCCCATTTCTTGGGAGCCTTAAAACCTACATTGGACAAAACACTAAACCAGGGGGTCTCAATCTTTTTCTTTCTGAGGACCTTCCAACATGCTGTAAAAACTCCATGGCCCACCAGTGCCCCAACAACTGGTTTTCTGCATGTAAAAGCCAGGGCCGGCATTAGGGGGTAGCAAGCAGGGCAATTGCCTGGGGCTCAGGACCCCAGGCTTCAGCCCTGCACAGCGGGGCTTCATCTTTCTGACTTGGGCCCCAGTGAATATAACATTGGCCCTGCTTGGTGGACCCCAGGGGGCCCCTGGTTGAAAACAACTGCACTAGGCAATCTTCAGCAGGGAATAATCTTGCATTAGAGGGGTATGGGGGTGAGGGAGATGGAGCAGGTGGACCAACTGGTCTTTTCCACGTCTATTGAGAGTCTATGACACTGGCTTAGACTGTGCAGGTACCCAGGTTTCCCTTCCCACCCTCTGTCTGTCTTGTCTAATTAGACTGTAAACTCTCCAGGGCAGGGACGGCCTATCCCTGTGTACCTAGCACAATGGAGCCCTGAGCGAGCTCTGTTGAGGCTTCTAAGGGCAATTGCAATGAATAACACTCCAGAAAAAAGCTGGACACAGGGAGCCATGAGGTCCTCTAGCCGAGTGGGGCGGGGGTGGCCTTCGTTTTTAAAAGTATCTACTCCAACCCTTCCAGAGGACAGGCTGACGTGTACCTGTGACTAATCACTGAACAGTGCTGTGCATTGTTCCAGGCAGAGGAGGAGTGGGAGTGGAGCAGGAAAGAAAGACTGAATGGGGTGCCCTTCTCTTTCTCTCCCTGCTCGAGTGGGAGCTCAGCATTGTAACCCTGGCCCTGATCCCTGGGCCTATTTATGCAACATTAGACCAGGATGGTTTGATTGCTAGGAAGAGCTCACTGCAAGCTGTTGCCACACTTGAAGGGTGGCTGGTGGTACTTGTCCTTCGCAGTGGGAACCAGCAGAGTCCTGAGGGCCTCAGACCCATGTGTTATTGCTGACGTACTTGGCCGAGCTGCAGCTCCGCATCAGAGCGGGATGCAAACCTGAAGCTCTGTGGCAGCAGAGAAATGCAGCTGGGGGTAGAGGGGGAAGCACATGGGCACGAAAAGCTTGTGTGAGCCTTGCCTCTCAGCGTCCTGGTGGGGGTTAGAGGATGTCAAGCCCTCTGCTTTGCATAGAGCACTCAGCAGACCTGGGTTCTTGCCGGGACTCTGCCACTGAGCTCCTGGGGGCCCTTGGGCTTGTCCCCTGAGGGAACAGGGCTCCGTTGTGGGCAGCGCTGTACGCCAGACTGTTCCCCAAAGAGTTTACAGTCTAGGTTGGGCTGTTATTGAGAGGCAGTGTAGGCTAGCGGGCAGGCCAGCGTCCTGACTCGGTGGAGGAAGCTCAAACAAATGGCAGCAGCAAAAGGACCCCCCACCCCACCCCCGGCCCCACTCAAGTCAGCAGCTGGTTTGTATCTTCCAGATTGGGTAGAATGGGATTGGTGCGGCTACACAGTCTCCCCCTTGGAGGATTCTTGGCATACAGGGAAAGCCACGTGTCTCCCCACAGGCCACGTGGGCTGGAGACACATTCCAGATTGCTCTCGTTTAACCCTTTCACCGCAACTGCCCTGCAAGGGGCCGGGAGCCAGAAAAGATATGAACGCGCGCACCCCCTCCTGTGCATTCGCTTGCCCGGCAGCCTGGGAAGTGCCGGTGTTTGAAGGGTTGCGGCCCTGACACTCCCCGGCTCTGATGGGTGGTGGGGATGTCTGTGGCGTCGTGCGCGAGGGGAGAAGGAAAAGGCTGAATTGTCCGAGCGCTCGCCCTGTGATTATGGGGCCATTTGAGGGACCCATGCCCTGTTCCCAGCAGGAGCTTCACTGAATCATTATGTTCTGTTGTCACAAGCCCTATATGCTGGCCAGAGGGGTTGCTCTGTGCCAGGGGTCCTCGGCCTTTTTCATACTATGACCTGACGTTCAGCTGCTGGCATCGTTAGGGCCCCATCCCAGGGCCCGTTGGGCCAGTTCCCAAGAGATGCTGATGGAACCACTGCAGTGGGTTATTGGGCACAATGTGTGGCTGGGCAAGTCCTCTTCAGTGGAAGGTCACAGCTGGGATGGGAACAGCTTGTTCCTCTTTCCCACAAAGACACTGGTAGGATTTCCTGCTAAGGACGTCGACCTTGTTAAGGGCAGAACCTAGGAACGAGTGCTGAGGCTTCCCTCCAAATGACGGGGCCTAAAACAACTTGCTACCACTTCCCGCTCGGGGAGTTCTCCTTTGGCTTGAATGGCAGGGACCTGTGGCTTGGAACTGAAGGACGCGGGTGCTCGTCCTAACCTTGCACGTATGATCGGTAATGGCAGAGGCTGCCTACAGCAGAGGACCTACACGGGGGATCGGGAGCCAGTCTGAGCTGTGCCACCCCACGCAATGGCCCAACAAGTGCAGGGCTGAGGCCAGGGCAGAAGGTGGAGCTGTGATGTTTTCTGGAGCATCAGCGGAGGCAGCTGATGGAGAAGGGGAGACGGATCTCTCAGGCTTCCCATATGGAGCAGGAGACCCTCTGGCTGCAGCTGTCCTGTCCAGCTTGAGGCGAGCTGGGTAATGAAAGGGCCGGGCCCTGTCTACCTGCTCCCTTCTGATCTTATCTCACCACTGCAATCTGCTCTGGGCTTCCCAGTCGCCATCCCCAACTTCGCAGGGAGTGGATCAAAGAGCAGCCGGTGCTGACATGTCCTGGTTACAGAGAACTTGAGCCCCCTGTAGTGAGCTGGGCTCCATTGTCAGAGGAGTAACCTTAGCCAGCGGAGGAGATGTCTGGAGAGAAAAGAGATCCGGGATGGGGATGGCAAGATGGGTGTAATTTTGTAAGCCGACCTCCTTTCCTTTCACTCCGGACAAAGCGGGAGAGAACTCCGGTGATTACTGCCGCTTCATTGTCCAGGTGCAGACAGCCAGCTTCTGTGCTCGGGCCTGTGACCCAATTCCATCACCTTTCGGATACATTGTAACAACACGACTTCCTCTGTCCTCCGTGGGTCTGAAATGCCTCCGCTCCCACCTGGTTTGTCTGTTGGAGTCGGTGGGATCAATACCCAGCTGTCAGGGTGATAATGCAGCCGGGGGCGAATGAACAGCTGATCAGAGCTCTGAGCCACTTTCATTGCAAGTCCCTCTTCCACCCTCTTTGTCGGGACACTCTCCTCCCCATGCCAAGCGATCTCTTGTCTTTAACTCCAGGGTCCTTGATCTTCCTCGCGAGTGAAGCAGCCCTGGTTGGGGGAACCCCACGCCTCCCCCTCTTCTGTAGATATTGTCCACCATGGTTTAAAGAAGATAAGAACGGCCACATTGGGTCAGACCACCATCTAGCCCAGTGTCCTGTCTTCTGACAGCGGCCAGGGCCGGGTGCCCCTGAGAGAATGAACAGACCAGTCAACCAATGAATGATCCATCCCCTGTCGCCCGTTCCCAGCTTCTGGCAAACAGAGGCTAGGGACGCCCTCCCTGCCCATCCTGGCAAACAGATGTTTTTGTGGGTTTTCCCGCAGCCGTAAGACACCTCAGAATGGCATCTCATGGCAC